CTCATAGAATGAACTGGGGAGTGTTTCCTCATTTACTATTTTCTGAAAAAGTTTATGAAGAATTCGGGTTAATTGTTCTTTAAATTTTTGGTATAATTCACCAGTAAAAGGCTGGACTTTCTGGGTGGGGGGATGGAGAACAGAGGAAGGTTTTCAAGTCACTATTCCAATTTCCTTACAGACATACTCATATTTTCTGTTTCTTCTTGCATCAGATAAAAGTTTTGGAAATTTGTATCTTTTTAAGAATGTGTCAATTTCAGGGGCGCCTGGGTGGCTCAGTGGTTAAGCATCTGCCTTCCACTCTGGTCATGATCCCAGAGTCCTGGGATCGAGCCCCACATCAGGCTCCTTGCTTGGCGAGAAGCCTGGTTCTCCCTCTCCCACTCCCCTTGCTTGTGCGCTCTCTCGCGCTGTGTGTCAAATAAATAAAATAATTTCTTTTTTAAAAGATTTTGCTTTTGGGCCAGCAGCAGCAGCATCCCTGGGGAGATGTAGGAAGGTCAGAACCCCAGAGTCAGAGTCTGCATTCTAAGAAGATCTGCAGGTGTCTCCCAGCACACAAGGGTCCCCCAAGCACAGGCATGGGGCTCTTGGTTTGCTTTTCTGGTATCTTTCCACCACCCGTTTCACTTTTTGCTCCATATTCTGGCAGATTTCCACTACTTTGTTCTTCCAGATTAATTACTCAGGTTTTGTCAACAACAATGTTTCTCACTTCCAGGAGCCTCTCTTGTTGGTTTTCTCCTACAGCAATCTGTTCTCTAGTGGATGGGACACCTCCTTGAATCTCTCTGGGCATTTAACCCCATTGACCCTGGCTTCTGTTTTCAGGGGTCCTGCTCTCCTTGCTGACACGGGTCTCTCTCTTCCAGCCGCTGCTCTCCTCCACCAGTCAGCCTTGGTCGAACCCTCCTGGGTCAGAAGGAGTGGGCTAGGCTTTCCCAGGCACTGCTGGCAGCCTGTCTGCTGTTGGCCAGGCAGTCTCTCCCCCAACTGTACGGGCTGCAGGACTTCTGGGACAGTGGGGGGCAGCTGCCTGAGGCTGCCCAGTCCCGAAAGGCTAGGGTGAAGGGGTGTGGTGCACATGAGCTGAGCACTCAAGAAGGACTTGCCGCCCAGCTGCGGGGAGTGTGGTCAGCACACAGCCCCAGCCAGCAGCTCCATGGCCAGCCGACTGCGCCCTCCCCATCCTATCCAGTGCTGAAGCCCAACAGCTTTGCTGTGTGCAAACTCCACCCAGAGAACCCCTGCTGGGAGGGGTCTGGGAACGCGGGCAGTCAGATGGGGCCTGGGGTCTGGGTTGGGCCCGCCCCGGTGGCAGTAAGGACCTCTGCACTGGAGGGCACTGGCGCTGACAGCCCCCAGCTGGAGGCATCTGTGCAACCATCAAGGCTTTGCACGGGGACGGATCGACGGGATGGCTGGTGCTGAGCACGCTCACGTCTGGTAGGGAGATAAGGAGCACCCGCGGGCCGGGAGCACCCACTGACTGCCAGGCGGGGCCTCTGGTCACTTACACAGATCGTCTCACCCTCTGCAGGGCTGCTGGAAAGAGCCCAAGCCTGAGGACTCAGGACAGCCGGACCTCAAGGACTGTTAGCTGCAGCCATGGTCAGAAGCCTCGGTGGGAAGCCAGGGGCCGCACACTTAGGGCGCAGATGCCCCAGAAGCTGGACACCTGGACTCGTCTAACCCTTCTGAGCCCGCAGACTTGGCCCCATCTGCCCCTCCTCCCCTGAGGGGGATGATGGAGACGTGTGGCCTCCTCCCCTGAGATCATAACTCAGAAACCTTTTCCCCTCTTCCCCGTGAGGTCCTTGCTGGGTGGAGTCCAGCGGAAGTCAGCCGGTCTGGTCTGCACCCGACCGAGGAGCCCTAAGATCCTGCCAGCAGATGGGAGGGGAGCTGGGGTCAGGCTGTGGGAGTGGGTGCCCGGGGTGTCTGACAAGGGATGCAGGGTCACCAGAGAGGCATGATTCTGCCCTTGGGAGATTCCTCCCGAGATGCTGGATGCGAACCTTCACGGGGACCCTCAGGACTAGGCTGGGACTCGCCAGGAGACGTGAAATGGAGAAGCCACTGCTGTCACAGCAGAACAATGACAGCACAGGAGATGCAGGGGAGCCGGCATGCTGGATGGATGGGGGGCCTTCAGAGACCCAGACGTGAACCCCAGACGCCAGGGCCACCAGCTCTGGCAGGGTCCCCGTGACCAGCTGACTGGCTATATAGAGTTTGGGGCCCCAGGGGGTGAGTCACACAGACCGGAACTACGGAAGGCCGCCACCATGCCAGCAGCTGCGGGCTGGTGTCCCGGAGAAACATCACCAGAGCCTGCACAGAGACACCAGTGAGAGCAACCCCAGGCAGAGAAGAACACGGCTCTGCAGAACTCAGGTCAGGAAACTTCTAAATTCTCAGACCTGGAAGGATGAAAGGTTCCAAGCTAAAACTGTGGGCAGGAGGAAAGAAAAGGGACTGAAGACCCCAACTAGGAGCTTGGACCCTCACCACATCCCCTTCCGGATGCTCCCTCCACAGGTCCCACAGTCAGACAGGGGCCTGGGAAGGGACGACTCTCCCCCAGCAGCCAAGCCTGGGCCAGGGGGAGGGGCCAGGCACCAAAAACCACCCCTGCCCCAGGCTGCAGAGGGAAAGGGAGTCACCCAGCCCTGATCCCCACACTTGTCCCTGCCCAACTCGACTTCCAGTCTCCACCTGGGTCCTGCCTGCCAGGTGCTGGGACAGGTCTGGTCAGGGATCCTGCCCTTGGGCTGTGACCCCAGGCCTCCAGGACAGGCCCAGGCTAAGGAGGAGGGACCTCACTATAAAGGGACTGTCACTGTGATAACCAACATGGTGACAATGACTTTCTATTGGGTCACACCACGGCAATGGTACTAGCCTGGGTGAAACTTCAGTGGGGATTTCCAGTTCCGCTCAGCCTGAATGAGGAACAGGCCAGGGGCCTACGCCCTGACACTCCGGACTGCAAACCACAGACCTAAGAGAGAAGACACAGGGGATTCCACCAGGGTGGGGACTCTCCCAGTGTCCCTCCGTCCTACTCCCAGGGCGCTGCGGCCAAGGAGCTGCCCCCTCCCTCCGCCTCTAGACGCTGAACTGGGACAGGACCCAGCCCCCCACCTTCCCACCAGCCCCAACCCACACACAGCCGGCACACCTAAAGCTGGGTCCTCTCAGTTTCCCTTGGACGCCTCGGCTCCCCGGCCACGTCTACAGTGGGTTCGGGCTGCTGAATTTTACGTGCTTCCCCCACGACCCAGTGGGCCCAACGCCTGCGGCCTCACTTGGCGGTACATCAAGCCGAGGTATAACCGACCAGGGAGCTCCGTCCCCCGGCCAGCTTGCCAGTTAGCTTGCGACAACCTGGGTGCTCAGGCTCCTCCCGGGTTCCACCTCCACCTGTGCGCCCACCTGGGCACGAGGGCAGGGCCAGGCCCAAAGCCCAGAGAAGGACTTTGCTTCCACCCAGGCTCTGCCAGTCCTTTGCAAACCTCAGAATTGAAGCATGTGCCTCAGGACCCTTCTCTCAGCTGCTCCACAGGCAAGCAGAGGGGGCCCCCCCCGACAGAGGCAGGTCCGCCAGGTCAGGGGTCCTGCCCACAGCTGCAGCTCCTCCCCTCCGCAGCTGAACAGCCCTGCAGCCTCTTTCCGACGCCAGCTGGAAACACTGCTGCGGAACAGCTCGCTTTGAAGGGCGCGGTTTATTTTAAATTCCTTACACCTTTCCATCACGTTTCAAACACCGCACAAAGCGGGACGGGGCCGGGGCAGCCGCCCTGGGGCAGCCGGACTCGCAGCTCACAGGATCGTGGGGCGCCACCGGACCAGGAACGCGAAGAGGGCCCCGCAGTGCTTTCTCACGGGGGTGCGTCCCCGTGCCCACTGCGCACCCAAAAGGCAGGACGGGTCCTCCCCACCATGCTGTCCCTCAGGCTACCGTTAGAGCCTCGAATCCCAGACCACCCGTCACGCCACTGACTTCTCCACGGAGGACTGCCGGACTCCCCGGTGTCCCCCGGGGTGGGGGCGGGGAGGAGGGCGCCTTTCCAATAAACTCAGGACGCGCTGATGCGTCCCTGGCCGGGCGAGCGCGGTTTCTGAGCAGCGCGTGCCGCAACGGCAACCCGGGGGCCCCGGCTCCGTCCATGCCGGGGAGCGAGCGCCCACACGCCGAGCTGCGGCTGCACGTGCTCGGGGCTGCCCAGGGGTCCCCTCGTGCCCCCGCCCAGCTCTTCCCCACGGTCTCCGCGCGGCCTGAGACAAGCCCGCGGGTCCGCCACCTGGGGGTGGGCCCAGAACCCGCCCCCGCCCCCCGGCCCAGCGCTCCAGGGCAGGGCTCCCGCCGACCGCACGTGCAGGGAGGGATGCGCTCGGGCACCGCCGGCCCCCGAGCTGGGTGCGGGGACGGACCCGCGGCGGCGGCCCCTAGGAGGCAGGGAGACCGGACGGCACGAGCGCCGCGCTGGGGCAGGCTCAGCCACGGTGCCGCGCGGGAGGCCCACGCGGAAGGGCCGCAGCCGAACTGCGGGGCCGGGAGCCCCGCAGACCCTCCTCGGCGCCGCGGGCCCGCTCCGCCCTTCCGCGCGTCCGCGGAGCGGGGCCGCGCGCACAGCGGGCTGCGGGGGTGGCCGGCGTGGCCAGCGCCCCCCGGGGACGGACCTGGAGAGCCGCCGCCCCGCCTACCCCGACTCCGCCGCGGCTCACCTAGCTCTGGGCCGGGCCGTTCGGCCGCGACCGGGAGTCGAGCCCCGCAGCAGGGGGCGCCGGGCGGCGAGCTGGGCGCAGGCGCGGGCCGGCAAACGTGGAGGGCGTGAGGTCACGGCGCACGGGCGGTCGTGCGCCGGCGCAGTGGGACGTAAACACAGGCGCGCGCCGGGGCCCGCAGGGGCGGGCGCGGGCGCAGGCGCAGTGGGGCGAGGAGGGCGCGGCGCAGGCGCATTGGCCGCGCTCGCGATGGGCGGGGTGTTGACGGCGCCGCGATGGCTGCCCGCGGGTGTCGGACCCGCGAAGCCCCGGGCCCCTCTCAGAGCCCGGCCTCCTGACGCCGCCAGTGGGCGGGGCCGCCCGGGCCGCCTCCGCCGCTGTCATGTACCCGCCGCCGCCGCCGGCGCCGCGTCGGGATTTCGTCTCGGTGACGCTGAGCGCCGGCCGGACCTACGACGGCAGCAAAAGCTGGCGGCGGCGCTCGTGCTGGAGGGTGAGGCGCCGGGGCGCGGGGCCGCCGGGGAGCCGGGCCGGGGCGCGCTGGGCCGGCCTGCGGCCGCCTCTGTGGGGCCGCGGGCTCTGCGGCGTGGGGGCGGCGCGCGGTGTCCCGCGCCGAGAGCCGTCGGTCGGGGCGGCGAGGCGGGAGCCCCGCCCGGGCCCGCGCCGGCGTATCCCCGGCGGCCTCGGGCTGCAGCGCGTCCGCCCCCCACGTCTGGGCAGAGGCGAGGTCCCGCCGGCGGCCGGAGTTGGAGCCGGCGCGCGCCCGCTGCGGGCGTCTGTGCTCTGCCCGCGCGGCGGCTGGTCTGTCCCGGCCGGAGGGCACCTCCCGTGGGGCAGACCCCGGGCCTGGGGAGCGCCTGGCCGCGCGGGGCTGGCGGCGGGTGGGGAGGTCCGCGGTCGGGTCGCTCTCAGTGAGGAGCCTCCCTGCCCTTCCGTCCCTCAGAAGTGGAAGCAGCTGTCGAGATTGCAGCGGAACGTGATCCTCTTCCTGCTCACGTTCCTGATGCTCTGCGGGCTCCTGTGCTACGCCAGCGTGGCTGACCAGTGGCGAGGTATCGGCTCCACGTGCGCCTGGCCGGGTCTGCGTGTGTCCCCGAGGGCCGGCAGGGCAGAAGCGGGAGGTCGAGGGCCAGAGCGCTGGCGGCTTTGGGGCTGGCAGGTGGCTGTGCGTTTCCCGTGGTGCGACGGCTTCCTCGGAGCCTGGCTGAGTCCCTGCACCTCCACGCCCTGTGCCTCACAGAGAAATGGAGGTCTGGAGGTCGCAGCCTCGGTCCAGACGCGTCCCCGGAACTTGCGCACACGTCTTACCCAGGGTCTGGAACGGCCCCCCCCCACCGGCGGAGTCCTGGGGAGCGTGTGGGGAGTCCTGGTGATTTTCTCTGTTGGGGCCCTGGCCTGCAGCAGGGAGGCTGAGGAGCCGCTGCGGGGGGCTCAAGCCAGCGGCCTGCTCCCTACCCTTTGTGGTCCCTGGAAGGGAAGAGCTGAAGGCCACGTGTTCGTGGGGTGTGGGTTGGGGCGAAGGACCGGAGCTGCCGAGGGCTTTCAGAGAGGCTGGATTTCCTCTGGCGTCGTTGGATTCGTTTCCGTGGCTTTCCCCGGGGCTCACGCTGTCCTCTCGTGAGGAGTCTCGCCTGTCTCGACGTGCTGCGCGACACGCTCGGAGTCTGTCCGGGCCGTGTGGGCTGCTGGGGACAAAACCACCTCTCTCGTTTAGCGGGGAACGGCCGGTCCGCGGAAGAGCGGAAGAGGAGACCAGTGGACCCGCCCGTCTTGCCAGCTCCTCGGAAAGCAGAGGACCTCCCGGGCGTCTTACCGCAGGTACGTCGGGTGACCTACGTGTGGGGTCGCCCCTGGACTCCGTCCCGCAGGCGTCTCGGAACAGTGTGTGGCGTTTTGGGTAGACGGGGAAGACGTCTCTCTGTCCCCGTCTGTGTGACGTCTGAGCCTCACGCTCCTTGTGCTGGGCCCGTAGGATGACCCTTGGGGCGGGAAAGAGGAATACCGTCTGCTTCGTTCTTCTGGAACGCCTGCTGGCGCGCCAGGTCCTGGGTCTGCCGGTGAGCAGAACGGGCCTGTCCCTTGCCTCGAGGAGCTGCGGGCTGGCGGCGGGGGGCAGGTGAACCTCCTGCGAGGGGAGAGCAGTGGCCGCCGGGAGGGATAAGGCTGGCGCCGGTCCCGCGGTCGGGGAAGCCGCTGTGAGACTCTGCTGGTTCTGGGCAGGGTCCGGAGAGCTGGGCTTGAGTTGGATGAGAGTGCCCAACTCAAGCCCGGGAGCTGGGCTTGCTCAGGGACTTGAAGCTTCAGCGGGTCTGGAGGGGGCAGGGGGCCGGGATCAGTCCAGGCCGGGCCCTACGGGGCTGCCCTGGGGAGCCGCAGGAGGCCACGCTCCAAACTCTCATTCGGGAGCTGTGTGTGAAGAAGCGGGTGTTCTCCGGCCTAGGGAGGGCAGGCGGCCTTTCTTTTACTCTTTGTTCTGGTCCCTCCCTCGCACACGGTCTCCGCCCTAACGGTTGGGAAGGCAGAGCCAGCCTGGCGTGTTTCCCCACGGAGAGACACGTTTCCAGAGGTGTTTCGGGAGGTCCGTGATCCAGTCTCTGGTGTCCAGCAGGGGCCTGGACGGTACGGGGTTAATATGCACACCTCCCCCGGTCCAGGCCTGGGGACTGGGAGCCCCGGGTGGAGGCCACTTGGACTTTGTCTCTTGTTTGGACTCCAGCACTGGTCCCCCAGACCTGGGCCGGCCTCGGTGCTCTGTTTCGGCCAGACCCCCTTCTCCCGGCCACGTCACTCGTGAACGTCGTCACCGATCCCGTGGACGCTGAGAAGCAGAGGTTTTTCCCGATTCGCAAGGGGCCTTCCTCCCATCCTCTGGGGGAGGCACCTCGTCCCGCCCTCTCTCGAGCACTGGCTGCTCCCGGCCCCGGTGCTCCGTCCCTGGACTCGGCGCCCTGCCCTCGCCACAGTATCCCGAGGGTGAAGCGCAGGAGTCCCGGGGCACGGGCCCGCGGCCGTGTTCTCTCTGCGGCTCCATCCGCGGGGGCGTGGTCCTGACCCTGTCTTGCTGCCTTTAGGGTCTGTGACAGCCTGGGAGCATCCCGGACCAGGAGTTCAACCCGCCATCCAGGGCTGTGCCAGCCCGTTGGCACATCTCCATCCCTGTCGGCCAGGGCCAGGAGATGGCGAGTCCGGATCTCCCGGCCAACTCTGCGTGTCGTGATGAGAAACAAAAGGGATTTCCTCTGGGGCCGTGTGCTGCCAGCCGGTTCACACACTCCCCGGGGTTGGGCCCGATTGGGGAGCGTCCCGGGGGTAAAGGAAGGGCAGCCCACAGGCAGTTGAGCTGTTTTCACGGGTGATTCTTGTTTTTATCTAGAAGCCTCAAAGGCATTTCCGACGGGGACCTCCCAACCTGCAGATTCGAGCCCCCAGTAAAGGCTCCGAGGACAGGAGGCAGGACGACACCAAGTGGAGGGACGAGGCAGTGGGTGACGCTCGTCGGGAAGAGCGTCACACACGGAGAACGGTGGTCAGGTACGAGGAGCGTCAGAGACGGGGCTGGACGTGCAGAAACGCTGAGGCCCGCGTGTCTGGCGTTTTCTGAAAACCAAAGAGGAGGAGGGTGAGCGCAACGTCTGAGGTACACGTTGCTCTCAGAGCAGGCAGGGTCCAGGGCGGGACCCTGGTGGGGGGCAGGCCCAGCCTTCTGCTCGTCCTGCCCAGAGTGGCGGGCAGCAGGGAGCCCCGCCGGGTGGCCGGGACCTGGGGGCGTTTCCGTCTCCGCCCTCAGGCTGGCTGACTGCTCCTCCTCCTCTCCCTGAAGCTGGCGGGGAGCGGTGATTGAGCCACAGCCGGGCACCGAACTTCCTACGAGGAAGGCGGAGGCGCCCCCCAGACCTTCCTCCCAGGCCCCCAGGATTCAGAACCAGGCAGGTAAGACCCCACGGGCACCCTGTTGGGCCTCACCTGGACATTCTGACGAGGAGGGCGCGTGGATGCCCAGAGGGGGAGCACCTTGCCGTCCCTCCGAGTGCGGGTCCCCCGTGACACCCGGGCGGGCCGCAGATCCCTTGAGAGCCTGGAGAGGACACGGGGCTCCTTGGCAGCCCATCACTGCAGCCCCTGGCCGCCCATGTGGGTGAGAGACTCGTTTCCCAGCCTGCGTCTGTGCCACGAGGGGCTGGGGGGAGGCGCCTGGGGAACGTGGAGACGCAGCCACCCCTCTGTGTCTCCACCCAGGCCCAACGGGTCCCAGCAGGTCTGCGCGGTCCGACGCGGTGGCACCGGGGTGGAGGGCCTTTTGGGCGCAGGCGTGTCGGGAGCCCCGTGCAGAGCTGAGGCGGGGCCGGTTACGGCCAGGGCAATGGGCCTGGTGGAGCGGGGGCTCGTGCCAGGTCAGCGAGTCGGGGCCCAGGCTGTGATCCTCTGGTCCCGATTGCTGTTGCCTCTGAAGGGAGGGGACGTGTGGGGGACACCGAGCGATCGTGTGGCTTAGAGGACAGACGGCAGCACCGTGGGTGTCCACACGGATGGGCCTCAGACCGCACCGAGCGCCCATGTGCGGTGCCGCCATCGACTCGCACGGTTGTGTCCACACGGTGGCTCCGTCATTCATGCCCCGTCCTCCCCGGTGTGGAGGGCAGAAACCTCGTCCCCCACACGAGTCGTGAGGGCACCCCGGAAAGGCCCCAGGGCGGCCGTGGGTGCACCTGCTCCGCGTTAGGTCCTCCTCGAAAACGCCCGGGGCCGAGGAGCTGCGACGGGGCGCCCGGGAGATGAGGCGCTCCCGTCCAGGTCGGCAGCCGCCAGCCAGCACGCCCGACGTTCCCGAGGCCGAAGGGCACAGCGCAGCCATCGGGCGCTCGGCGTGTGGCCCCTGGGCCCCCGGCGGAGGCACACGGGAGACCGCGCTGTCCCGTGCTGGCCCCAGAGGCCTCGCCGCCCTGGCAGCGGCGTCCAGCCGTGAGGACCCGACCTTGGGCGTTGTCCCCTGCTGCTCCCCCACCCCGTTCCGTGTGGGGCTCCAGAGGGGCCCTGTCTGAACCCTGACCGGCACCGGTCCTGGCGACCTGCTCTCTTCCCTCCAGCCTCCCCGAACGAGCGCCAGAGGGCCGTGATCGACGCCTTCCGCCACGCGTGGGCCGGATACCGCAAGTTTGCCTGGGGCCACGACGAGCTGAAACCTGTGTCCAGGTCCTTCAGCGAGTGGTTTGGCCTGGGCCTGACGCTGATTGACGCCCTGGACACCATGTGGATTTTGGGCCTGAAAAAAGGTATCCGCTCCTTCCCTCGCACGCGGCCAAGTTCTCCTGGGGTGACTCTGAGGCAGGCGAGCTGTTGGCGGGGGCGGTGGGGGTGGGGGATGAACCGCTGCTGTTCCCATCTGCTGCGCTTTCCCTTCTCGTGGGGGCAGGATCCCACGCGCTGGGTGTGGGTGGTGGCTTTCCCGCCTGACGTCCCGGCGTCCAGGGCCGGTTCCAGCCGGTTCCCCCGTCGCAGCCGGAAGGGGCCCTGTGGCGGGAGGCGGCACGTGATGCCACGGGCTGTCCGCGCCCCGCCTCTCTCCCTCACGTCCCCCTTACGCCACGCTGATCGGGTGGCACGGGGACCACGCGTCGTTGGTTATGTCTGAGCTGGGACTTCTTCAGAGGCGTGTTCTGAGTTGTCTGAGGAGGCCCGAGACTCCCGCCGAATCACTCAACGCGGCCCTTTGTACCGGGATGGTCCACCGTCGACGGCCCGTGCTCACGCACGCACGCACGCGGGCTCCCTTTCTCTGCGTGCCTGAAGTCGCGGGGGCTCCTCCCCTCGACCCGGGACCGGACGTGGCGAGCCTGCGGGAGGGAGAGAGAGAGAGAGACACACAGGAATGCACGGGGCCCCCGAGCGAGAGGTCACAGGGGCGTGCTAGGCCCCCCGATCCGCTCCCCTCTCCACACCGTTTCGTGTCACAGAGTTTGAAGAGGCCAGGAAGTGGGTGTCTAAGAAGCTGCGGTTCCAGAAGGACGTGGACGTCAACCTGTTTGAGAGCACGATCCGCATCCTGGGCGGGCTTCTGAGCGCCTACCACCTGTCCGGGGACGACCTCTTCCTGAAGAAGGCTGTGAGTGTCCCGGTGCCCGCAGGGAGGACGGGCCCGAGCGAGCGTGGGCGTGCGAGCGGCTGTCGCCCGGCTCCCGGGATCCGGGGAGGGAGGGATGGGGAGGGGTTCGGGGGCGCGGGGCGGGGGGGGGGGGCTGTCCCCAGCGCCCCCGCTCCTCTGCTGGAGCCTCGTGGGCGCACACGCACGTGAACGGCGTCACCCTGCCTGTCTCCCCGCGGCCTGCAGGGACGAGCTCTCGGAGCTCCCCAGGGCCAGCTTGGTTTGGTGGCCATGGAACGTGGAGGCCACGCGGGGTCAGTAAAGTCCCGTGTCCGTCCGCGTGACTGGACGGACACGGGGGATGGGCTGGCCCCGTGGGACGGGGGCGCGTCCGCCGTGGGGCAGGGAGGCTTGATTGCCCGCTGTGCTGCACATCAGGAGGATTTTGGGAATCGGCTCATGCCTGCATTCCGGACGCCCTCCAAGATCCCGTACTCCGACGTGAACATCGGCACGGGGGCCGCCCACCCGCCCCGCTGGACCTCGGACAGCACGGTGGCCGAGGTCACGAGCATTCAGCTGGAGTTCCGGGAGCTCTCGCGCCTCACGGGCAATAAGAAGTTTCAGGTACGGAGGGGCAGGGCCGCCCCGAGACGCCCCCTCTCGTTTCCTCTCCCGTTCCCCGTGGTTCGTTAGCAGATCCCGCTTTGCCGGGGACAACAGAGGCCGGGGTGTCGAGTCGGCACCCGGGGGCTGAGTCCTCGCCCTGGCCCTGCCCTGCAGCAGGCCCGTGTCCTCGGGGTCCCAGCCGCCCGCCTCCCACGTGCCGTGGGGTCGGGGGCAGCGGCGCCCGCGGGGCTGGGCGTCCAGCCAGGTCGGCACGAGGCAGGAGGAAGGGAGCTGTGCTGGGGCTTTCCTGACCCGCGTGCCCGTCGTGGGCCCTTGTTGGCAGTGAGTCCCCAGCCCTGCCCGGCGGAGCCGCTCTCCTCGCCGTTGGGGTGGGAGGGGGGGCTTCGGGACTCGGCACAGCGTGCCGGCGTTCTTCCTTTGTTTAGAAAATCGGAGACGTGATTGGAGTGAAATCGTGACTCTTCACGTGTCCGTGGCCCTGCGTTCCCCCTCCCCCACTGTACAGCCGTGGGCGAGCTCTGACGCCTGCACGACATCCTTCCCGTTGGAAGTGGGCCGCGGCCGTGAGCGCTGTGCCGTGTGTGTGTGTGCGCGTGTGTGTGTGTGCGCGCGCGCACGGGTGCATGCGGCGGTGGGGGCTCTCAGTTCTGATCGTCCCGCGCAGTGAGGTTCTGCGGCCCAGGCTGCCCGCGTAGGGCTTGGTCGCCACGGGGGACGTTTGCAACCACGTGGAAGGCGCCCACGGGTTACGTCTGTGTCGTGGCGCGCGTCCCACGTGTCCCTTCCCGCCCCCAGCAGTACCCCGCCGTGTGGACGGGGCCCGAGCCATCTAGGTGCTGCAGGTTCCCGCCACGCTCGGGCCCCCGGCTCTCGCATGGCCGCTCGCGCGTTGTCCGTGGGCCTGCCTCGGGCGGCCGCGGATCTGCTTTCTGGGTGCGGCATTCTCTGGCCGCTCGCTGGCCCTATGTGTGTCCTGGGGAGACCGGGGCGTGCGGGGCCCTCCCTGCCTGTCCACGGCGTGGCGGCTGTCCCGTCGTCGGCGCCTAGTCCAGCGGCTCCACACTTGCCCTGCTGCTGGGGCGTCAGCCGGGCGCCTGCCCGATGCCGGGTCTCCGTGGTGGCCGGCGACCCGAGAGGACTCTGTGGGTGGGTGTGGGCGCGTGCGTCTGGCGGAGCCCAGAAAATGGCTCCCCGCGTGGGCTCAGGGCGCGCTGACAATGCACACGAAGCCGGGGAGCGGAGGTGCCGCGGGGGCCCGGCAGGGAGCTCGGAGCAGCCCGGGTGGGCTGGCTCTTGAAGGGTGCGCAGGAGCTCCCCGGGGGTGGTGAGCCGCGAGCCCGGGCGCGGAAGCCAATGTGCCCGCCTTCCCTCCAGCCAGCGGGAGCAGCCGGCCGCGCCTGGGCAGGGGGTCATGGGGGCCAGGCCCGCGGTCATTGGACACGGCCCCCCCCCCCCCGGGGGCCCCCGCCGTCTGCAAGATGAGTGGGGCCCTCGGGGCGGCCACGCGTGCATGCTCGGACCGGGTCGCCACGGCGCCTGGGTCCGTCTCAGAAGCCATTGTCGGTGGCAGCTGGGCAAGGGGTGCCGTGGGCCGGAACGGCGGCCTGCTCCCTCCTCGGCGGGGAGCGGGTCCGTCCCATGGGGGTGAGCCGACGCAGCCCCTCTGTGCAGGTCGCCCGCCCCCTCGCTCACGCCCGCTCTCCCGTCGTCTGCCGCAGGAGGCCGCGGAGGAGGTGACGCGGCGCGTGCACTCGCTGCCCGGCAAGAAGGACGGGCTGGTGCCCATGTTCATCAACACACACAGCGGCCTCTTCACCCACATGGGCGTGTTCACCTTGGGCGCCCGGGCTGACAGCTACTACGAGTACCTGCTGAAGCAGTGGGTCCAGGGCGGAAAGAAGGAGACCCAGTGAGGCCGGGTTCTGCTACACGGCGGGGGCGGGGTCCCCGCGGCTCCCCACGGCTCCCCGCGGCTCCCCACGGCTCCCCACGGCTCCCCGCGGCTCCCCACGTCCCGGGTTCCCGGTCGGGCAGCCGCTGTGCCAGCCCGCGCTCGGCCCCTCCGCAAGGAGCGTGTTCCCTCCAGGCACAGCCTTCGTGTCCAGGAGGAGGGGACCTGGCTGGTCGCTGAGGCCCACGCTCCTCAGCGCCAGGCGGGGCCCGGGGTCGGGGCCTGTCCGAGGGGTTCCCGCTCACCGGCTGCGCGGTTGTGGAGGCCACCGTGTACACACGCCCCCCCCAGCAGAGGGCGGCCTGGGCTGCTCCGTGCGGTGTGGGAGGCAGAATCGCCCCCCCGGGAGGGAATCGGAAACCCTCGACGATCGAGCCTGGGGCTGACGCCACCCAGAACCCCCGGGGCTGCGGGCAGAGACTGGGGCGGCACACCGGGAGCCGGTGGGGACGTCGGGGTCCTGGGGCTGTGCGGAGGCCGGTCTCGGGCCGTCCCTCGGGGCACTTGAGAGGAACGCCCCCCAGCTCCGGGCCAGCCTGGTGCCGCCTCAGACGGGGCCAGGGCTCTGAGCCACTAGCGTGTGCTTGGTGGTTCACGGGCGCGCGGCCGCTCCTGGGTGCCGGGGCGAGGGGGCCGCACGCCCGGCTGGCCCCGAGCTGACGGGGCCTGCCGCCCGGCTGGCCCCGTGCTGACGGGGCCTGCCGCCCTGCCCAGGTTACTGGAAGACTATCTGGAAGCCATCGAGGGGATCCGAAGGCACCTGCTGCGCAGGTCTGAGCCCGGGAAGCTCGCCTTCGTCGGGGAGCTCGCCCACGGCCGGTTCAGCGCCAAGATGGTGAGTGTGCGCACGAGCCAGCCCGGGCAGGCGGGGCTTCAGACCCCACCCCCCACCCCCCACCCCAGGCCGTGTCCTGAGCTGCGGCCGATGTGTGAGCCAGGGCGTTGCAGAGAGCCCCGAAGTGCGGGCCGTGGGCATGGGCCTGGGTTGTGTGGCCTGGGCTGGGGTGGGGGCGGCAGGGGGAGCTGGGGGGGACCCGAGGTCTGCACTGGGTCCCTGGCTGCTCCCCCTGGGTCCCGGGCACCGCTCCCGACCCCCACCGCTTCCCAGGGACCCTCACTCTCCCCTGTGCCCTGGGCCCAGCTCCTGGTCTCCTGCCAGCAGCACCGCGGCAGCCCGTGGGTGTCGGTAGGGGAGGGGGGAGACCTAGATCAGCGTCTGCTCCCCCGGGAGGGGTGTCTTTCCCCCGCCTCTCCCCTGCTCATGTGGAGCCTCACGTGCTGGGCCTGTGCTTGAGTCGCTTGCCCGAGTGGACCCTGCGACGTGTCCGCTCGGGCTCGTTGACTCCTGGGGACACGGGAGGCCCCATCCCCGGTGTCACCGCCACCCCCCGCCCCACGCGGCCACAGACTCCGCCGTGGTGAGGACCCGCTCTGATTTCAGGACCACCTGGTGTGCTTCCTGCCAGGGACGCTGGCTCTGGGCGCCCACCACGGCCTGCCCGCTGACCACATGGAGCTGGCCCGGGCGCTCATGGACACCTGCTACCAGATGAACCGCCAGATGGAGACCGGGCTGAGCCCCGAAATCGTGCACTTTAACCTGTACCCCCAGAACGACCGCAAGGACGTGCAGGTCAAGGTGAGCCGGGGCCGGGCTCCGGGTGTGGGGGCGCCGTCGGGGCCGTGTCTGAGCTCAGCCCGTGTCCCGCCCCGCCTGCCCCCAGCCGGCCGACAGGCACAACCTGCTGCGGCCCGAGACGGTGGAGAGTCTGTTCTACCTGCACCGCCTCACGGGGGACCCCAAGTACCAGGACTGGGGCTGGGAGATCCTGCAGAGCTTCAACACGTACACACGGGTGAGCTGCCTGCCCGCCGCTCCGCTGGGCCCCTCGCCCCGGGCTGCGGGCATGGGGGAGGGCAGGCTCGCCGTGGCCTTTGGAGTCGGGGGCACCTAGGCCTCCGGGGCTGGGGTGTCCCTTGGTCCCGTCCCAAGGGCCGAGCCCGTGTGGGGAGCCGGCTGTGGCCGCAGCCTGGACGCCACCATCTCGGCCCTGTGCAGGTCCCCTCGGGCGGCTACTCCTCCATCAGCAACGTCCAGGATCCCCTCAACCCCCAGCCCAGGGACAAGATGGAGAGCTTCTTTCTGGGGGAGACGCTTAAGTACCTGTATCTGCTCTTCTCGGACGACCCGAGCCTGCTCAGCTTGGACGCCTACGTGTTCAACACCGAGGCCCACCCCTTGCCCATCTGGGCCCCGCCGGGCGGCGCGTGACT